ACGAAGTTCTAGAACCCCATCTTTTACCCTATCTTGACACCCTGGCAGATCCAACTTTCCAACAAGATAATGCCCGACCACATGTTGCAAGAGTCACAATAGACTTCTTTCAACATAATGATGTCACATTGTTACCATGGCCACCAAGATCTCCCGACTTATCCCCAATTGAGCACGTGTGGGATATGATGTGTAGGAGATTGCTCAATTTGCAACGTCCTCCTCAGACTCTAGAAGCACTTCGAGAGGAGTTGGTGGTTGCCTGGAATGAGATACCACAGGAGGACATTGACCACCTGATCAGAAGCATGCCTAGGCGCGTTGGAGAATGCGTAGCACATCAGGGTGCATCCACACATTATTAAAGGTCAAAGGAAAGGGCTTTAAAGCAGTGCAATCATTTTGAAATTTTTATCATTTACTTATTATGCTTCATTAAGTACTTATACAAAATTTTATTAAAATAAAACCATTTAAACTGGGTGTTCGGATTTATATGTCACTTAGTATAGATGCCCAATATTAAGAAGACATGTGCAACAGCGTGTACGATTATTATTAAATGTGATACTTTAGTCCAAAAGACGGCCAACTTTGAACAGATGTTTTATGCTTCTTGGCTACTCATCAGCATGGTCTAGACTTGGCCTCCTGTCTCTGAACAAACGAACGAAAGTATCGTAGCTATCCTCTATTCAGGAGATCGATCTATCGAAATAAGATACCAGAATAGAATCGAGCACTGCGGAGAGCGGATAGCTGATATTAGCTGGAACTGATAACCAAAGTTGAAATAATTGAAATTATCATATTTTTAAAAAATAAAAAGTGTAGTGCTGAAGATGAAATATCCGGCACAATCATGACAACATTGATTACATTGTAGATCCACTGCTGTTGATTACCAATAATTCGTTAAAATAAAAACCCTGGTCAATTAAAAACAGCACGTGTCATTCCAGTTTAAAAGAATACAGGCGATTTTTCATATTTTGATTGGTTCAGGTCCCAGTTTTTTCAAAAATATTTGAGGTGGTAACGAATAACAGAATATTTAATTGTTTATGTCTAAATGACCTGATAAAGGAAACTTAACATGGTCACGCGAAAGGAAAATCAATTGTTTCAACTGCTTATAAGCTTACTCAGAACATTATAGTAGATTTGGACAACAATAACAGTGTACTGGGTATTTTTCTTGACCTTACTAAATCGTATGACTACCTAAATCACAATATATTATTGCAAAAATTAGAAAGGTATGGCATTAGAGGATCAGCACTTACTTGGATAGAATCATACCTCAGCAACCGTAAACAAAAAATAAAGCTATTGGGATGTAATGGAACAGCCAGTTCGAATAAGCTTAATGTTAAGACAGGGGTGCCTCAGGGCAGAAAATTGGATCCCACATGTTTGTATTTTTTTCAAATGACGTTGACTACTTTGTCAAACCTGATGATGTAAAATCACGAACTATCCAGAGGTCACAAATTTGACCATAACTACTACAATTCCTGTGACTGTATGTGATACGGGGGGATATAATATGCACAATGTGGTCTAATTCTTAATAAAACTAAGACTCGTGCTACATCGCGAACTACGCACTGCAGAGCAAATTTTCAAAATTAAATCTGTCTTAATGGTACAACAATTACAATGTCTCGCAATACTAGATTTCCTGGTCTTCAATTAGATAGTTACGTCAACCGCATAAGTTATTTAAGAAATAAGCTGAATAAGATATGTTATTCCAAAAGAGCTATTGCTAAATAGTTGGGCAGAAGAACTTTGAAACTTATGCATCACACAAATTCTTGAATCTAAATTAAGGTATGGATTTATGTTATCGAGAAACTGGACTTGACTGGATTTTGATGGAATTTTTGTATTACAAAAGCGAATATTGATAAATATTTCAGATTTAGGCCGAATTTCACCAACATTAATATTATGGACCAATGGGAAAATACCTTATCGAAATGCAATTTGACAGAAGCTGTCAAAGGTCTCTAAATATTAGTGATTTCTATTAAAATATTGAATAAAATCGTGAAAATTCGACTGTATTATCAACAAGACCACTATTTGATTCCAACATGGTGCTTTTGTACAGAGAAAACAGGTCAACTTTCATGTATTTTGATTTGCGTTATAAATTTACATTTACCAATCAGTTATCCCCAAAGCCAATGGGAATGCGGCAAATAGTAGGTCGATTTTCTAGCTGTTAAATTTGGCAACAGATTTGGACGTGTGTTAATGCATGGCAATCTCGAATTTAAGTTCAATATACTATACTACATACCTGTTGAATAGTGTGGATTTGTCTGTATTTTGCAAGAAAATAGAATATAAAACACATTTGATCCAATTCCTCATCGTCCTTTACATCATAAAAGTAATGATTTATTAATTTACGGGTTAACAGATTTCTTCAAAGCAATAAAAACATACACAAAAAAATATGAAGAATGTCTCACAAATAATGTCTTTTAAGTCCAGAAATCATAAAAACTATTAATGTTTATTGTTTGATCGCCTTTTTCACTATCTGTCACTCGCAGGGTTACCAAGTCTAACGACGATCACGTCCCGTGATGGAGGGTGCGACATGAACCTTTTAGATTTGCTGGTTTTGGATTTAAAGTAGGAATACAAACATAGTACTTATGATAGTTGGAGCTAGACTGATAACACTTCTTGAAGCATATTTGAAAAGTGTGAACACGATCATGGTCTGTTGTCAAATTGCAAATGAAGTATCTGAAAATTTTTACATACAGTGGACCTTCGTCATAGTTTACTATCCTGATTATGATCATCTTTGGCAGATCAAATTGATGAAAAAATATAAGAAAGCTCTTATATACCTAAATACAGCGGATTTTTCATGTAAATTTACTAGGTATCATGATTATAAGCATCTTTGGTAGATTGTTCGATCCGGAATGGGAAAGATCTATCTATGAAAATATTTTTGGTATCATCTAACCGTTGCAACCAGTGCACAAAAACTGTAACATATGATTTATAGCATAACCCGCTGTCCTATCAATACAAATTTAACATACAGGTCGCCTAGCCGTACGGATGCAGTGGTCGGGATGAATATCACGGCAGCAACTGCTGATTTGGGCATCTCTGGTAACAACGTATGAAGTGAAACTCGCTAACTTCACACATTTGAAGATTTTGTACAATTTCGTTGAAAATGATGAAAGACATGTCTGATTTGGGAGGGTAATGTCGCAGCCAAATGGCAGTCACTCTTTCTGACACAGTCCGGATAGAAAGATGACGATACTGATGAAATGTATTGATACTTCGAAATATAGGATCGTATCGAACATCCCTACTGTCAAGATGTATAACCCAAGGTACCGATGGAGCTATATTGCGGCGTCAAGGAAATAATTTTAAATTTTCATTTGCATTTTTTCAAGTGTAGTGCAATGATTTTGGGAAAAATATCACGAATAGTCTTATAAAGCATTGTAGAGTATATTTCAACAGTTGGTGGAGCTTACTCCACTGGGACCAGAGGGGTGAAACGGGATATTAATGCACAATCTGGCAACCATGTCGCACCCTCACAAAATGGCCGCTGACAACCACACAAGTCACCGTGTTGTCATTGAATCCCACACATGTGTCACTCGGGGAGTCTTGAAATGCAATGATCAGCTGTATTCAAATAATGTCTAATATACATATAACCTAGAATGTGTACTCGTGAAAAAAGAAAAGTATGGCAAATTTGTAGTTTTTTTGCAGGTTTTAGGTTTGCTGGTAGCTTTAAGGCATATATTTATTTGGGAATTTCTTAATCGCTGTGAATGTAGTGTGGATGTTTGTTCAGTTCCTGAACAACGAAAAATATTCAACTTTATGGATGTATGGATATCAAAAAGCCTGAATGGTTTTGTAGGAATATCAGTCTGAGGTGCCATAATGGTTCTGATGAACGGCAAGTAAATGAATGAATGTTTGGAAACGAGCAATATCTTTTGGTAGAGCCTGTCATCAAGTAGGTAGGTGCTTATTGGCTATCTGCAACAGGTTTATAGGAAGAAACACCCAGTAGATAATCTCGAATCAGTAAAATCGCATATCAATTGAAGAAAATAATATAAACATGAATAAAAGGTCAACTATAGTAATTAAAACATTAATTTAATTCAAAAGTCAAACACTTCTTTAAATTTTGACTGAATTATATGTAATTTCTTGAAATTCAATAAGCTGGTGATGTTTCAATGACAAGCTGTCATCTTATACCTAGACAGTATTTTGTTTTCAACATTTCATAGCTATTGGTTGCTAAAATTCGTTAATTGGAACTTGAAGCTCATTCGTTGTATTTTACGGACTGTTAACCCATGCAGAATAACGGACTGTTGATTTGACAACCTTTGTTGAAATCGACCCTAAAAGTTGAATAAATCATGTAGAAGAAGCAAATTCAAGTAATTAGGTATTTTAAAAGTTTTTGGGCTGTTTATTCAAGGGTTCCTCATATATTTGAAAATACGTGATTGTTCACAGTTAATGAGCTTACAAGTAACCATACTAGAGTTCTTTTCATCCTAAGCAAGGATTAGCGTCATTTGAAAAAGGACATCCGTATAATTGTCTAAAACCTGTTAACCATTTACCAGCAGTTGTGAAAAAGATTATAAAAATAAGTGCATTTAAAAAATAGTATACAAGATATTCCTAAATCTAGAATGATATACGATCAATCACTTTTTCGATTTGAATAATATCTAATCTAATATCGTTAATTTTGTTTGGTTGGTATTTGTATCACAAGTGGTATCCAGCTGTTGTATGGGATTTGTATTTTCAAATAAGGATTACTGTTATTATTATTATTGTTAGCGATCTCACTTCGCTTTCAGTAGACCAGTCACCATGTGACCGCTAGATGGCTTTACGATTCTGGCGGTAAAGTAGGTGTGGCTTGCCATTGAACAAACTGAACATTGGTTGGCTGTCTTATTTCAGGGTATTATTGTTCTTGAGGTACCATCTTCATTGACTGAAGGTTGGTGACGATTTCAGTATATCTTCAGCGCTCCATATGACAATATTTTTCAAGCCACTGGTGCTGCCATCGGCCTGGGGGGCAGATGTTTTCGAGTCCCACATGGGACATTTTCGCTGGAATTTTATTTTTGTGATTATTGTCGTCACTGTGCTGTTACTTTTGTTAAGTTATTTTATCTTAACACGGTTGTTGAAAAAAATGTGGTCAATAACTGAGAAAATAGGTAAGTCTTTTCAAGGAACCCATACTTTAGTCTGTCTTTTGCCGTTTTGTCCAACGATGATAAAATCTCGAACGCGTCATTCATTGTCACAATTGTCGCATGGTCTTAGCTACGCGAGATGTTGTCGAATAAAAATGTCAATTGACGGCGTTCCACGTAAAACATTGGAACAAAAAATAGAAAAATGACAATGATAAAAAAGTGCCTATGGGGCTATGCTTGGAGGACAAAATCAACAAAGACGTGTCACTCGTGCAAAGTAAAGGATTCCCATTGACTATGGATGATGTCGTACAATAGCATTTCATTTTGCCGAGCGACTAAGTATATCTCACAGATTCAACAAAAAAAATTGAAAAAGCTGTTTATGATTGGATGCAAATGTGTTTGAAAAGAAACCCTGAATAACCCCTAAAAAAAAGAGAAAATATTACTGTTATTGGATGTTGCAATGCCAAAGGAACTTTTTTGCTACCTAACTTGCATTTTTAAAGGGAAAATAAAAAAGCTAAATGCATAGGTGGAATGCCTGCAGGTTCCCAAGTTTTCATGTCAAAAAAGTCACCTTACTGCACTCATCTGCACTCTTTTTTTAGAATGGCTTAGAAACCACTTTGTGCAAAGGAAACCACCTGGCAAGGTTTTGACGATATGTTGTGTTCTAAATGTAGCCAAAAAGAGAGAAGAAAAGAGGAGCAGAAAGCTAAAGAAAGAGCGCAGTAAACTACTGGCCATCATTCCCTTACTACCATGGCCATCTCTCCCGGACACCTCGGGAGAGATCGCCAATCGAGAGTTTAAATTATGTTCCATTTTTTTATTTATTTGGTTAAAATTTTTCAATTACTCTGTGTTATTTTATACGTAAATGATTAAAGGCTGGTCTAAAATAAAAATTCGAAAAAAATACAAATAGTTTCATTTTTATATCTGAAAAAAACTACGGCCATCTCCCCCGGACTTGCCCTATATAAAAGTTATAGTGTATAATATGAAGTTTTCAACGTAATATTTTTTTTGTGTCTCAGAAAAGTGTCACTTACACATGTGTGTCCAAATTCCAACCAGCGTGCATCTAGCCGCCTATGCAATCTGGTTTAGGGCCGGAATACATATGATTTAGGCCCGTATCGTCAGTCGTCCCTACAATTGTAGGGCGCCTTTATGGCCTCCTTGATTGTCATAGTTTTCTGCTTCTCCGTGTCAGAACTCTATTTTGAGGTTATGTCACAAACATCTATTTGCATCAAATTGTGCTTGCTTTTGAGTTATATCATGTTTTATCAGCCTGAAATTTCCCACAATTTAAAAAGAAAACATATCCTCACAATAGGAGAGCGCTGGCGCTGACACGGGACAAGTGTAATCTAGAAATTTTTGCACGAGAGAAAGGAGGATGACAATCAAGGAGGCCATAAACGCGCCCTACAATTGTAGGGACGACTGACGATACGGGCCTAAGTGACACATCAAGTTCACAGTATACAAAAAATATTACATGAAAAACTTCATATTTGACCCTATTTTTTTCCCTATTTCTTTTGTATACAACTTTTTCAACTAGAAGGGCATAAGGAAAAGTTAGAGGAAGGTAATTTTATAGCCGGGCATTACCCTGTTCAACAAAAAAAAAAATGAAACAACTCATTCTTAATTTTTTTGCGGTTATAATACATTATGGTGCGTAATAAAAACAAAATTAAGATATCTCTCGGCAAAACCGCTTATTAAAGAGAGAACATTGCACAAATCAATGGTAATTAGCTGCTGGAAAGCAAGTGCATAATTATACCGGGTAATCTGAAAATTAAGGAAAAAGTAAAAATCGCCGACCTCGCCTAAGGACGTGCTATTCGTGAAATGAAATTAAAAAGATATAATGGGAAAACAGACAACAACAGACTCTTTGATCTCGAATAATAAAATAACTTGGGGGAATTACTTTCAAGAGCAATATTAATTATTCAAAGTCAACTACAGCGCAGCCTGCCTTTTTGCTCCTTCAAGAAAAACGCTATTTTCCTTCTCTCTGGAATACCAAGCAACACTTTTTTGATCGGAGTGAATAGAAGTAAAATGCTCTTGCTTCTTTCTTGGCTAACAGATTATTTGGTAGAAATATTACAGAATAGGTTGATACAGTTTCTTTTTATGGTGGACAAAAAATTAACTATATCTTAATAAAGTAAATTATTACAAGGTTTTTTTTATTTAGAATAATAATTTTATAGCAGTTCTTAAAAATATCGAATTTTATTTTTATAATAAGATACTTCTCCTGGCCTAATGATTTTGTGGTAGAAAATCGTACTCTACTCTCCATCTCGTTGGAGGTGATTTTTTATAGTTTCTGTCGACCGTAAATACGATAGCTGAAAGTGACTCTGTTGCTCTCGTGTAGGAATTTAGCGGCCCACTACCCGATTTTTTAAATAAGTTTCACACGGCGTGGTGCAGTTTTATCGGGTTGTGGAGATCTTAATAGAAATCGGTCTCAATTAGTGACTTTGTTGTCGGAGCCCTTTTCTCACCCTCGTGGGGATCTAGCCATAGACATAACTACACTCAACCATCGAGCTGAGAGGAAGCGTCTGCAGCGATAATCCGAGACGAATTTAAATAGTACTCACGCCTGTGAGAAGCAGTTCTCCATTTCTGTAGGGCCTCATTGTTCGAGGGTTCTACCAACGGGTTCTACCTTTGCATTCTACCTTCGAGTATAGAGTTCCATCTAGGACTTCCTGCCTCGGTTGCCTTCCGGTATACGCCAAACAGCTGCCAAGGTGGTTTTTCCCTCTTCTTTCCTATTTTAGTTTTATTGGTAACCATTTAACTGAAGGGATAGTATAATAAAATAACTCTTTTGCTTGTCGTCCAGGACTGCTGTTTTTTCTTTTCTTTTGTTCAATAAATATTGGTGTACCACCTGTGTGAGTTTGTATCTCCTTTAGCGTCAGAGATCCAACGTTGGTTACTTGTTATTTCTTTTTCTTGTTTTTAGAACAAACTAGGTGGCGACCAAACCACAACCATTTGCATCCAAAAACCAAGGTACGAAGAACCTTACTCTGGGGGGCTCATATCTACGAACTAAGCAGTTTTCGCGGGATAACAAAGTGTTAGTGTATAATTTCTTTATGATATATCTGTTACTACCTTGCTTCACGCTGCTTTACCACAGTCGTATACCCCGCTGCTTAGAAAACGAGCTTTTAGGGTAAAATTAAAAAGTTGAGGTTTCCGCATCTCTCCGTCTATTTTAAGTTTTACAAGATATCAATGTAACTATAACATACCCAAATGCCGAAAAATGCGCTGAATCCTGAAATTCCCTTGGTTTTAACAATCTGACAACCAGACTGGATGGTAAGACCACAATGTCAGCCATACATTCCTTTTATGAAAAGCTTATAGAATACATCGACGCGGGCGAGTGCCCTACTGGGGTATTTTGTGATCTCAGTAGGGCATTCGACTGCGTTGATCACAACAAATTCTTGGAGATTGTTGTTAAATATGGTTTTGTCGGTCAGTCTCTTAAATGGGCCAGATCGTTTTTAGTCCAAAGAAAACAATATGTTTCAGTAGAATATCTTGATGCAGGGAACAATATGAAAAACTTTGTGTCAAGTACGTTAGACATCTCGATTGGAGTCCTTCAGGGCTCTATTCCTGGACCAATCTTTTTCCTCTTATACATTAATCGGTTTGATAATGTTCATCCAGATACCCATTTTACAGCATATGCTGATGACGATTCTGCGATAATATCAAGTAATTCAAATATAATTTTGGAGGATAAATGTAACAACTTAATTAGGAATATCAATACATGGTTTAACCAGTACTCACTTCACTTGAATCCTTCCAAGACAACGCTTATTCGTTTTCATCATGCTCAAAAAACTGTAGAAGGGTTTCAAGTTAGATTGGGTGACGATCAGCTCGATTTTAGACGAGAAGTGAAATTTCTTGGAGTTCATTTTGATTTGAACTTAAATTGGAAGGCCCACTGCGAATTTCTCACATCAAAAATATACTCTCAAAGCTATGTGTTGAGGCAGTTAAAAACCATCTTAACAGCTGAAAAATTGATACAAGTTTATTTTGCTAATGTGGATTCGAGATTAAGATATGGAGTATGTTTCTGGGGTTGGTCAATGCGCTCTGAAGATGTATTTGTGTCTCAAAAAAGATGCAACCGATCATTAGCAGGCATCTCACCAACAGAAAGTTGCAAAAAATGTGTTATAAGTTTCAACATTTTAACTGTCCCTTCGTTGTATATATATGAATTGTACTTACATGTTTTTAAAAATAATGAAAAATTCAAGCAGAATTGTGATATGCATAATTATGATACAAGGACTTGTAATAATTTATATGTAAACTTTAGCAAATCAAAAGCGGCATTTCGATCACCTAATAAAATTGGTCCACTTCTTTTTAATAATTTACCATGCCACATTACCTCGGTTAAAAATATTAACGACTTTAAGTTCCTGTTGAACCAATTTCTGATAAACAAGTGCTTTTATCATGTTGATGAATTTTTGAACATTGCAATTTGAGATTAGTTGTAGGTTTGTAGCGAACCAAAAATTGACAATTCCAATACAATTATATATTGTCTGTATGGAAATAAAGGTTATTGATTGATTGATTGATTGATTGGATACTGCGAGATGCTTGACACCTTGGCTCCGGTAAGTGGGTGCAGCGAGTATAGGACGTGATCGAATAGATTTTTTTCATGTATTTCCATATTATGTTGTTCATTTTCCGAACAATCTGAAAAAAAATCACATATTGATAGGATATCATTATTTACATGTCATGAGCCATCGAAAATGTGACAAAAAAGTCTGGTAGAAAAGTTATCAGACAATATTGTCTGACCAAAAATTTTTTTTCGGAAACAATTCTCATTAACATACTTTAACTTGATGTGGACACACAATGTTAACTCGGTTGCATTGATATTTTTGAGAAAGATTGAAAAAAGTCGTAAATTTTTTGAAAAAGTGTATAAAACCTAATGATAGCATTATTAAAGCATGTATCACTACAAACCATCACAAAAACCTAGTCTGCGACCACAGAAAAAACAACAGCAGCAAAAGTGATCAATCACCTTAACGTAGGTACAAAATTTTGACGTCGCTCTGTTGTGGTTCAGACGTGTACTGCTGTGCAATCCATCATCAGGCAGCGTTTACCACACTTTAGTCTTGGAGACTTTCATGATCTAGCCACTTCCCTATTGCTTGTGGAGGGATTTTTTCTATAAGGTTCAATACTTTTTTCTCAGTCTGCACCGTTCGGGGATGTCTAAGTCTCCCACTGTGTCCATCCCGATATTCCTGCAAACTACCTGTATTCGTAACTTTTGCACAAGTTGAACAAATCAACGCGGCCCTGAATGATAACGTCTGGGAAAGCGATCTGCGTACACTCGCGAAGCCTCGGTAGCGTTTTGAAGACCCTCACCATAAATTAAAATCATGTCCATAAGTACGATATTGCTGTACCAGTGCGCCATTTTGGTTTCTCCGAACCGATTTGTATATAAACGTTTAATTTACCTACGCTGCCGGTGTCTGTGTTGAGCACTGACTTGAGTTGTGCCTTCTCACATTCGATCTGATCGAGATACAGGAGCGCATTATGTTTAGTTTAGGTTTGATTGATCTTGCAGAGCCTAATATCCGGGTTGTCTCAGGACTTTGGGGTATATGCGACAAGATATATAAGCTCTGCAAAGTCCCACCTCTGTGGATACTCTGCACGTTGAGCTAAACAAACAATTCCTGAACATAAATTAGGATTAGCCTGAAGTGAGTGCCACATAAGTTAAGTGCAAAGAACGGATTGACAGATTCA